ATGGGTCTCTCCCATCTGTTTAACGAAGAATCTTCAGATGGGACCCCAGACACCTATGACACAATTGCTGGACATGGCCTTTTTTGGGTTCAACAATAAGGAGCTGGAAGAAGGTCAAAAGAGAAAAGCTAGAATTACAGCTGGTGCAACTGGCAATGCTTTAAACTGATCTAGGTCATCTAAAGGAAAACCCAAAGATGACTGAGGTTCTTGTTTTAAGTGCAAGAAGTTGGACACTGGGCACTAGACTACATACACTAAGCCACTGCCTGGGTCCTGCTCTGATTATGAGGCAGCCAATGTCCCTGACTTCTGGCACTGGAGAGTTAACTGTTTCTGCTCCCAGAGAGGGGGTAGGCCAGCCAAAACCCTCGTTTCCTGCTCTGACGACTGAAGAGGCCCAAGGGAACGTACAATATCCCTGTCCACAGATATCACCAACTCCTATGGGGAACTCTGGGTGACACTGGGCGTCATGGGTGAGCCAATTCAATTATTTCATTCAGTTTTGACTTCCTTCTCTGGAAAACCCTTCTCTAGATCAATAACCATATTCTGGGTTGAGAGAACTCCTAGCTGGAGAGTCTTCACTCCTCCTCTTACATACCACTTTGAAAGTCAAATGTTTCTAACTGTCCCAAAGTATCCTACTCCCTAGCTAGGAAGAGATTTACTAGTAAAACTAGGGGCAATTCTCAAATTCCAACAAAGGCCAAAACAGATTTTACCTGTTGGGACTATGTCAGGTCTTCCTAACTAGCCAACAGGCAGATCCTGCTGTATGGTATAATGGAATACCTGACTGAAGGAAACCCTTCTTCCTCTACATATCAGAAAAGAGTGCTGGAAGTAGTGGTGGACGCCTATAATCCCAACACTTGGGAGACTGAGGCAAAAGGATGGCGCTGAGTTCCAGGCCAGCTTGGGGTGAGTTCCAGGCCAGCTTGGGGTGAGTTCCAGGCCAGCTTGAACTATAAAGTAAGACCCTCTCCAAAAAACAAACAAACAAACACACACACCCTACACTGAGATTCTACCCATCTCAGTCAGAACAGGTATCACTAAAAATACAAAAAAACAATGACTGCTAGCAAAGATGGGGATGGGAGGTGGGAAGGACTCTTCCTACATTGTAGGGAATGTAAATTAGTCTAATCACTATGGAAACCAGTATGGCGATTTCTCAAAAAACTAAAACTAAAAAGTAAAGCTATTTGATCCAGCTATACCACTCCTTTTCATATTCCCAAAAGAACTACAGATATCACACTACAGCGATACTTGCATACCCATGTTATAGAAGCACAATTCCCAGTAGCTAAGTGTGGAAATAGCCTATACGGCCATCAACAGAGGTACAGATAACGAAAATGTGGCCTACAGACAGAAGGGAGTATTTACTCAGCCACAGAGAATGAAGTCACATCATTTACAGGAAAACACCCTCAGCCCATCAGGAGGCAGCCTTGACACAGGTGAGAACCACTGCCCTGAAGCACCTTTCCTCCCACTGACAGCCTCGCTTCTGCTCCAGCCTCACTGGCTTCCCTACCAATCCTTCATCATTTCTGCCCTACCCACCATCAAGGTTGCTGAAGTGTCCGAATGGCTCAGACACAAGAACTCTTTCCCTGTCTAACTACACCTTCTCCCTAGGTGATCTCATCTAGTTCCATTTTAAAAAAAAAAACATTTATTTTAACCAACAGGAACAAACTGTTTCCAAATTTACCAAGTCTCTGGTGGTGATTTCTCCTCTGAGTTACAGATTACTAGAGCCAACCTCTTATTATTTACATCTGGAATTTAAGAGGTTTCTCAAACTTGTAGAAAATACAACTCTTATTTTTCCTTAACCTCCCATCAGAACTAAATAGCACGACCTTTCATTCAGGACAAAAGCCTAGGAATCATCCCTTTTTTTGGAGACACAGTCTCATTATATACTGTCACTCAGGCTAGCCTTGAACTCATTCTTCTGTAGTCCAGGCCAGCCTCAAACTTGTGATCCTCCCGCCTCAATCTGCTGAGTAGCTAAGATTACCAGTCTGTGCCACTGTGCCTGGTCTAGGAGTCATTCTTAATGCTTATACCCTATATTCAATCATATCCAATCATGAAGGTGTACTGTATTCATCTTAATATATATCCTAAAAATATATATACCACCCTCACCGTACCATCTTACTCTTATAGGTCCCTCCCAGCCCTTTCTTTTCTACTTTTTTTTTTTTTTTTTGGTACCAGGGATCAAACTCGGGTCCTTGCACTTGCACAGCAGGCAGCGAAACCACTGAGCTAAATCCCCAGCCCTTTGTTTTGTTTTTTGAGATAGGGTCTCACTATGTTCAATGTGGCCTTGAACTCAATTGTAACTCAGGTGATTCTCCTGCCTCAGCCTCCTGAGTGTGGGGATTACAGGTGTGCACCCAGCTGATATTAACTTTTTTTTTTTTTTTTGGTACCGGGGATTGAACTTGGGACCTTGCACTTTGGAGGCTGGCGCCAGAACCACTGAGCTAAATCCCTGGCCCTGCTATTAACTTTCTAACTTGTCTTTAACATTCCACTTGTTCTCAATAGTCTATTTTTTCATATAGTAGCTATACTGATTTTTAAAACTCTTAAAAACTGAAAAACTAATATTTGGAATAGAAATGAAATTCTATAAATATATTCAAATCCAGTAAACAACACAGAGCTTATGTTCTTAACCTACATAGCTTCCAGATAACAAAAGAACATTGCGAAAATGGAAAAGTGTCACCCTACAATTTCTAGGCATTTAAAAATTTATGTATAGGGGCTGGGGATTTAGCTCAGTGGTACCATGCCTGCCTCGAGATCCTGAGTTTGATCCCAGTACCTGCCCCAATCTATGTACAGCAGGGCGTAGTGGTACATGTTTGTGGGCCCCAGCACTCCTGTAGGCTGAGGCAGGAGGATCAAAAGTTTGAGGCCAGCCTGGGCAACTTAGAAAGCCTCTACTTCAAAAAAAAAGAAATTTAGAGCCAGGGATTTAGCTCAGTGGCACCCTGTCTACCTCGCAAGCACAAGGTCCTGAATTCGATCCCTGGTACCAAAAAAAAAGAAATTAAAAAAAAATTTTTTTTAAGGGCCAGGGATGTAGTTCAGTGCAAAGGCCCTGGTTTCAATCCTTAGTACTGCCAAAAAAAAATGAAAAAACCCCCAAGCTCATGGAGCTATGTTTTAAATAAAATTTACACTTCTGTATATAAAATCTGTATTATACTATTAGCTCATTAACAGATCATGTAACAATTATGTAATGTAATTCCCCTGCTCAAAAAATTTTCTTTACAGAGTCCTGGGGCCTACTGACCTTCTCAGCTTGTCTCTCCACGTGCCCTTCCACTGTAGCACAGTGGCATCCCAGCTCATTACGAAGCCTGTTTTGCCTGGAGTGCTTGATGTTGCCTCTACTTAGAAGAGTCTCCATCTAGATTCTCATGGCTAGCTCATATTTCCTTCAATTCTCAACTCAATGCCTCTGCAGAGGTCTTTTCTAACCTTATCCTCTCAAATAGTCTCCTTTTCTCTCTGCCCATCACTCAGTGGAAACACAACACCCAGTTTTTTGTTTCTCTGCGGCATCACTTATAAAATTATGCATTGAACAAAAAATTATGCATTGAACTGAGGATACAGCACTGCGGCAGAGCACTTGCCTAGCATGTGCAGGGCCCTGGGTTTGACCCCCTCAGCCAACACCCCTTACACACACACATATATACACACACCCCACAAAGACAGAGGTACCTTCCTCCTTCGGCTTCCAGCCAGAGGGCTCTCTTTCGGGAAGAAGCAGGATTTCAGCACTTTTCATATCTTGTGCCCAGCTGCCTGTCTGTGAGGACACTAAGTCCTAAGCAAGTGCAGGTGGAGAGAGGAGAGAGGAAGGGCACTTTCTGCCCTCTGTCTCCCTTGGCCGGGCCTAGTGAGGTCCGAGGCCTGCTCCTGCATTCCCAACTCAATGCCTCTTCATCAGTCTCTTCTCACTTGTCCCTCCTACGAGTCTCCCTCAAGTGTCTTCCCAAGGGTTCCCTGACTTGGGGTCGTCCTTGTTTGTCTCTGCCTAGTCCACTTTTAGCAAGAATCTTGCTAGATCAGTTTGGCAAAAATCCTCCACCCTTGGTGTCTGACTACTCTTAGATTCCTTATCCCCAGACCTCTCTACCTCATTACCCTACTGTACCTTAAGCAATAATCCTTCAATTTCTAACCAAATAAAAAACCCAAAAAACAAAAGCGAACCATGAGTTATGCAAAGAAATAGGAAAATATGATGCATGGATGCAGAAAAAGCAGGTAACAGAAAACGCCCCTGAGAGTGACCAGAGGTTGGATTCTACAAGAAGATTTCAAAGTAGCCATTATAAATGTATTTACAGAATGTAACAAAAACTTGATTCAAGAAGGAAAGTATGAAGACAATGACACATTAGAGCATCAAAAAAGACGACCAAACTCTACAGCTGAAAAGTCCAATAAATGAAATAAGGGAACTGCAGCACAGGAAGGGTGTGCGATTGCAAAAAAAAGGCTCCTAATCCCAAAGGAGTAACACAAATTTGTACTCTCGGCCCACCTGAAACCTGCCCCTTACTGTGAATGACTTCAAAGACACAACTTTTTTTTTTTTTTTTTTGTAGTTCAAACTGACCTTGAACTCAATATGTAGCCCAGGCTGGCCTCAAACTCTCAAATCCTCCTGTCTCTGCCTCCAGAGTGCTGGGATTACAGGCATGCACCACCACACCCAGCAAAGTCACAATGATAAACTTACTAATTTCATCTTATAATGTAATCACGGCATGGTCTCACACCAATTTTTAGGTAAGACACCCATTCCCATTTTCACTGAGCTACACTCCCAGCCCTATAACATCCATTCTAATACATAATTAATATTTTTAAAGGTCATATTATAAACAACAGATTAATTCTCAGATATTTAATAGTAACATGAAAAATCTTACTGGTCTGACGTCACCACAGGAATTGGTAAACTGTCGAGCCAAGCCAAAATCAAGCATGAAACATTTCCTACATGTACTAGGAAAGCGACCCATGGCGAAGTTCGACTAGAAAAAGAAAAAAGAAAAATACACACATATGCTTAATCTTTACACTTACCTTTCCTTTAATTATTCTTCTACTTAAAAGTCTATATAATAGACATGTTCCAGATATACTACTTTACTCAATGATGTTTACTATACATTAATAATCTAGTTTTTGGACCAGGGATTTAGCTCAGTGGTTCCTCCACCTGCCTCACAAGTGCAAGGTCCCGAATTCAATCCCCGGTACCAAAAAAAAAAAGTTTAGTTTTTGTTTTGATTAATGCCTAGCATTAAGTAATCTTTGAACAAAAAAGAATTAAGCAACTGTATAAAGCTATATAACACAATGTTGACTAATGAAATTCAGAACTCTAGGTTCATTGAAATTCCAGTCTAGGGATTGGGTTGTCTCCTGAATTTTAAGATGAGAGACATGAGGAATACACACACACACACAAAAAGCTAAAAAAGTTTAAAGAATTTCCTAAAGCATCATGAAACTGAATTTTACTAATACAAATGAAATACAATTTAAGGAAACATTTCAAAACAGACTCAATACACTGCATTCTTCTGTTAAAACAACTCAGGGTAATGTCAAACGGCCACGAATTTGCAATGATAGGTAAGTAAGGTGATCTCTGATGGTAAAATCGAAATTGTTACCTAGAACTGTTACATAGCTTTTATTTCTTTCTTTCTGGTTCTGGTCATTTTTTGTTTGGGGGATGAGTTGAGGCAGGGACTCAGTATGTACTTCAGGCTGGCCTCGAATCCGCTGCAACCTCTGCCTCAGCCGCCCGCGGTTAGCTTTTCTTTTACAATAACATTTCTACTTAAGGAGCTTTCTGAAGAAAGAGAGACTCTCTCTCATTCACTAAGATGAAACAGGGCAGGAGAAATGCTATATGACATTAGCTCTTACTCTTCTATGTCAACTTTAGTTGGCATTTTCATGCATTTAATTTTAGGGTCATATAACAGGTGGATAATACCATATTTATAGTCTGTACCAACAGAGATAAGTTGACAGTAAATACAGTACATGAGAAATCAGTCATTTCTCCTCATGAACAACACTGAAAAGTAAAAGTAAAAGCGTATTTCAGTACAGAAATGACAATTTCTAAGTATAGCAAAACAACAACAACAAAACAAACAAAAACCCCTGTATTTCCATATTACCACTCAGAAGAAAAATAAGGTCTTTAAATATAATTTCTTATAAATATAATTTGACTTGAGAAACCGAGCATACAAAATGAACTAAAAGCAATTTTTTTTTGCAGGGGGTAGAGGGGGTGGTTTGAGAGAGGATCTCCCTATGTAGTTTGGGCCAGCCTTGAACTCACTATGTAGCCCAGGCTGGCCTCAAACTTGCAGTGATCCTACTACCTCTGCCTCCTGAGTGGTGGGATTACAAGTGTGCACCACCATGGCCAGCTAGAATAAGTACTAATTCAGAAATAAGGCTGAGTGGTTTGCAAGGTTAACATACATAATAACACTTTTTAATTTGGCTGGCAAATAACATTTTCATGGTGTAAAAAAGCTCTTAAAAGTAAGTTATAGTTTGTAGTTACTACTTTAAGAAAAACAAAGAGATATGTTGTATTTTTGCTTCCAGGCGTCTGCAGAAATAAAAATATTCATATTTAACCATACAAATATAGAAAACTATAACTGACTGTAATATAGATTATAATATTATAATTGATTACAATATAGAAAACTGTAATTGATTGTGTCCCACCATAACAAAGTACTTAATAAAACTCTTCTGTACTTGGGCAAGAAAAGGACCCTACCGGTTTGATGTCTCGGTGCAGGAATCCCACAGAATGGATGCTTTCTATTGACTCCAGGATCTGCCTCCCCAGCCGCAGAGTAGTGCTAATGGTGAATGTGCCCCGGGACTGGCTGCGGCGCAGGTCTGCCAGGTTCCGACCCTGTGGCAACCAGACAAGCACTTGCAAATGTGGGACTGAAACACGACAAGCCTGGGCAATTATTCATTTATCACTGAAAAACGCTAGGACTCAAAACAAAATCAACCAAAAAAAAAAAGTGTCACCAAAACAGCAAGAGTTTTACCCAACTTGTGATTTTCTCACTCAACAGAAGATAGTTTCTTAATAACATCAACATTTCAGACAAATTTGAGTAACTAATGTCTTCACATAAATTTCTGATTCATCCTATTTCTCTTTATCTCTGATGTCAGAATAAAATACACAGATATATACAGATACAGATACCTTCAGAGAACTAATTACTGCTTTATACACATACTTCCATACAAACTACTTAACTTTCCTTCATCTGTTTCCTCATAAAATGAGGATGATACCTACCCCCTCACAGAGTTCTGCTAGGATTAAACAAGATTCATGTAAAGTTTTTAAAATAATCTCTGCTAAACATTAGGTAATCAACAATAACTAAGTACTATGATGTTACTACCAAATACGATATGAAAAACACTCAATTACTTGTTTTGTTTTGTGTTGTGTTTCTGAGACAGGTCTGCTGTGTTGTCCAAGCCTGCCTTCAACTCACTATGGACCCCAGGCTGGCCTTGAACTAATGACAATCCTCCTGCCTCAGCCTTCCGGAGTGCTGGGATTACAGGCGTGCACCATCACACCCAGTGCTCAGGTACTTGTAAGCATAGAGAAAAGCAATGGATGGAATCTTGCCTATAGCAGATATGACATTCATGATTTTATGTAACCCCACAGCATCCTACACCTGTTCCTGTTTTACTGATGAAGAAATTGATATTCCAGAGAGTCAGCAGTGCTAACCTGTTACGGGTAAAGATGCTTTTCAAATTTAAGGCTGTCTGGCTGTTCTTTCTTTACAGAGCTTTTTCACAGTACTACTGCACTGAGAAGACTCCTTTTTCGCTTAAGCAACCAACTAGTAACCTGAAGAGGGCTAGCAGCCAACTGCACTACCCCACCCTCTGAAGAATAGAGGGTGGCTTCCCTGACACAGGGATTTAAATATCCCGGTCTCCATTCTCAACACTGTCTTGTAGCATATGTTTGGTGTTAACATGCCACTAATACCATCACTTCAACTAAAGACAGCTGATTTTTGAAAAGAAATAAATTCTTACGTTACTTAGAGCATTCAAAATAAAATATTATTACTCACGTAGGTTAAGAACTTAAAAGCTGTAGTAAGATCAAGAGAGATTTTTATACCTCATTATGTTTGTTTAAATGTAGTTTCCCCATAGCATACATTAATTCATATTTATCATCATTGAATCATCATCATTGTGATTTTTAGGGGTTGCTGGTGACTGATCCCAGGGCCTTCACACTGAGCTACAACCCTAGCCCTTTATTTTTTTGAGATAGGGTCTTGCTAAATTGCTGGGGGTGGTCACGAACTTGTGATCCTCCTGACTCATCCTCCCAGAGTGCTGGTATGAGCACTACACCCAACTGTTATTTTTTTAATGTTAAGGAAATTTATCTCTTTAACCCTACCAAATGTAAAAATAAATGACAATATAGAAAAACCAGCTTTATAGCTCCAGGAGAGAATACAATCACATTTGTTACCATTCCAATAGATTTTCTTCAAAACTCAATTTTTTTCTTTAATACTGGGGGTTGAACCCAGGGTCTTGTCACTGAGCTACATCCCTATCTCCTTTAGGTATTTTTTATTTTGACACTAAGTCACTAAGTTGCCAAGGATGAGCTAAAAATTGCAATCCTCCTGCCTCAGCCTCCCAGAGTGCTGGGATATGTATGTAAGATGTTTTACATACATAAAACATCTTAATTCTTTTTATTCACCGCCCCCCCAAACTGGAATCTTATCTAGTTGCCAGTTTACAGGAAATATAAGGGACAGAAAAACTTTTTCCATTTCTTCCCCCTCACCCCCACTGAGCTATATTCCTGACCCTTTTTTAATTTTTTTTTTTTTTTTTTAATTTCAAGACAGTGCCTCCGCAGCTCCTAAGTTGTCCATACTGGGCTCAAACTTGTTATCCTCCTGCCTCAAGTCTTCTAGGGTGCTAGGACACTCAGTTTAGGAAAACATGGTAAATACTGCTACGTGGAAATAACCAGCAAAATCCAGAATATGAGGATGTCAAAGGACACCACTTTTATCATGTCAATAAAAACAGAAGAAAAGTGCAAGAAAATAAAACAGGAGAAAACAATAGATTTAAGTAAGTTTAAATTGGGTGTGGCGAGGCACACCTGTAATCCCAGTGTTGGGAAGCTGAGACAGGATCACCTTGAGTTGAGAGCAGCCTGGAATATTTAGTGAGTTCAAGGCCAGTATGAACTATATAGTGAGACCTTGTCTCAATCAATCAATCAGTCAATCAATAAAATAAGTTTAAGAGATAAGCAATGTGTGATCTCTCTTTGTAACCAGATTCAAGTAAAACAAATGTAAAAGTAAACAGTTGGCCAATCAAGGAACTCTGAAGACTAACTTGGTATTTTATCCTACTATTAAAGAGATTATTATTATGGATTGGTTTAAGAAAAGAAGAAGTCTGAGGCAGTGGCACACACCTGTTATCCCAGCACTCAGGAGGCTGCAGCTACAAGTTCAAGGCCAGCCTGGGCTACATAGTGAAACTTGTCTCAAAAAACAAACAGGGAGGAAGTCTAGCAGTGAGAAAGCTGTTCAAGTACCCCTGCTTTGTGCCACTACTTGACCAGCCTGCCCACAGGTGTGACACCCAGCAGACCGTACAAAAGTGTAAACACAATAGCAACCTGAGGTGGTCCTGAAACAAATTCTTCTACTTGACCATGGAGACTGCATGGGTCTTAGAGTCTGTGCTCTGGAGTAAACAGAAACTATACTGAAAGAACACAATCAATCCCAAAAACAACTTCAAAGAATAAGGACAGTACAGTCAGCTGGGAGTACATACCTGACAGTGCTAACTTGATACGGTGTCTCAGAGTTACAAACTAGGATATATAAACTGTTAACATCAGACAGAACCAAAGTCATTGTGACCTTCTTGTACGGGAGTCGGCCAGCCAGTTTCCTTCCCCTTGTCAGAGGTGACCCAATATGCAGCTATAGTGTAACAAGGAGGCTCAGACAGTAGGTATAAAGAAAACCACTTGCAGGCTCTCTGTCCAGGGCATCTTTCTGTCCTACAAGGGCTAATGAGTCTTAGCTCTGTTCCCACAGTTGCATTTTTAGCAAAGTGAATGATTAGTAAATGGTATTTTATAATAAAAAATTTTTAAAGGGCTGGGGATATCAGTCAGTATAAAGGCTCTGGGTTCAACCCCCTACTGGCCACAGGATTCTTCTGTTTCTATGCACCTCACTGGGTGACGTACTCAACACAAAATATTGTCCTTCTGTAGTCTGAGGACACCCACATGAAGCCTGAAAATGAGACCCAGTCATGATCTTGTGAGCAGAACTGAGAAAAGAAATATATACAATTTTTTGAATCTGTAAGATTGTATGATCCATTTTCACTGTAAATGGCTAGAAAGAGTAAATTTTCATGGTAAATGGCAGCAACAGGGTTAAATTTTTAGGGCAGATATTATGCAACTCAATCAACAGAAGGAAAAGAATGAAATTAATTTTTAAAAATGCATTTAAAGTTATTACAAAAAAATTAAGACTATCAGTGGGAAGGTAGGTCTGAGCATCTGAATTTCATCAAAATAGATGAGGGAGACCTAGTGATCTCTCATATGTCAGATAAGAGAGTACATTCTTAACAGCTTTTAAACCTATCAATTGCTGGCTTGTGGTGATGGATGCCTGTAATCCCAGCATTCGGGAGCCTGAGGCAGGAGGAACACCCTGAGTTTAAGGCCAGTACCTCTCCAACTATATAGTGACAATCATTAAAGAAACAAACAAAGAAAACAAGTTAGTCCCAGGAAAATGACAAATCTTTTAACTTTAGCCTTGTCCCAAATCAAGTCAACCATTAAGTGTAGAGATAGAGGTTTAATGGTAGGTTAACTTTCTTATGACTGGAAAAAAAAATACAGCATACAAGTCAAGTGGAAAGGTTCTTGGATAAATCCCTAGGTGTATTCTGAAGGCCACAAAGGCCACTGTTACATGATATATACCAGTCTCCTTACTTTTCCCAGTACTAAGAGCCTTTCCATTTACAGAAAGCAGTATTTAGATAAGTATAGGAATTTAAATAGGTCTGGGATGGGCCGGGGATTTAACTCAGTGGTACTGCCTGCCTTGCAAGCTCAAGGTTCCAACTTCATCCCTGGTACAAATAAATAAATAGGTCTGGGAATGTGGCTTAGTGGTAGAGTGCTTATATGATGCCCTGTGTTCAATCTCTAGCACCACCACTGCCACCAGAAAAAAAAAAGAGAAAGAACTTAAGTATGTCCTGAGACTGAGACTCTGTAGATTAAGAAAAACTGCTCTAGGGCCGGGGATTGAGCTCAATGGCACCACACCTGCCTAGCAAGCACAAGGTCGAGTTTGAAGCCTGGCACAAAACAAACAAACAAACAAAAAAACCCCGAAAACTCTAAATAATCTCAATAGTAACTTGAAAACAAAACAAGAGTTTTCTCAGGCCGGGATTTACCGAGATTGATCCCTGAAACCAAAAAGAAAAAAAAAAAAAAAGTTTTCTCTACTACAAGAATATTGGCCTCAGGGTTCTTCTAAGCTTTAAAACCAATCAAGTTAGTTCCAGGAAAACCACAAACCGCCTTCAGCTTCAGCTTCTCCATCTGCAAAATGAGGATAAAATCTGTCTTCTCCCTTCATGGGTTTGTGGGGAGAATCGAATAGACAGAGCATAAAATAACATAAAACAATTCTGGCCAAGCTGAGAAAAAGCAGGCTCCATATTTAATGAACAGGGTAACTCTTCAAAAAATAAAACTGCTGGCTCAAGAGATAATAAATCATATAATTCAAAAAGATTTTCAGGCTAAAGTCTACAGAGAGGTTAATATCTTTAGGTCTAAAAGAAATGCTGAAGGACAACTGAGGGGAAAAAGAAAAGACTTTTTTTTTTAAAGAAAAGTCTTCCAATGAAAAGAGGAAACATGTAGGCCACAATTGATGTCCCTGAAATCAATGTTAGGTAGGTAAGCTGAAAGAAAATAAAGGAATAAAAGCCCCTTGTTAAAGATGACGGGGGCCGGGGATTTAGCTCAGTGGTTTCGCCGCCAGCTGCGCAAGCGCAAAGACCTGAGTTCAATCCCCGGTACCAAAAAAAAAAAAAAAAAAGATGACGGAAAAGCCTCAGAATTTGCCATTAGGCAGCAAAGTGCAGCCATGGTTTTCAAATGTTATAGTTATTACAGTGTGTGTGCGTGCGTGCATGCGTGTGTGTGTGTTTAGGTCAGAAGAGAGTCAGAGAAAATGGAATGTTTTCCTCTTCTCCTTGATGTAGCCAGTACTTCCACATTCCCTTGCCGAATTTCCTTGTCTCTCAACTCAACTCCAAACCCACCTAAAGGAGAAGGAACAGAGCTCTGTAAATGGTGGAAAGGGGGAGAGCTAGCAATATAGCTCAGAGGTAGTGAGACAGGAGATTAAGGCATGACAGAGCTGGCTGGTCATGTAGGCATGGCCTGTTAATTACAAGACCCCAGACCTGGCAGAACAGTTCCCAAAGCCCTGCACTTGGACTTTTCAGGAGAACTTGAGCAGGTTTTCAAGAGGATGCCTAGACCTGACGGCAGCCTGAGGTGTGGGATCTCAACACTGCCGCTCAGGACTGGTATTTGAAGTTCTTGAGTGTTTCCTTGAGAGCTGGACAATATAAAGGACACATTAATGCCATGAAAAGTTTGCAATCCCAACCTTCCATAATAGCCCATGCTGTATTTCCCAGGTGTAGCATGTACTTTTTTATCTTTGCTCTTACTCTCTTTTTTTCTTTACTTGGCCCAAGCTTGCTCTGCGGAGCCAGTTTATTTCCTATTCTTCACTTTTACAGTCTTGAATAAACTTGGCCGCTGCTTTTTGCTCGTTTTGTTCAATTCTTTGTTTGAGACACCAGAGAGAGAGGCAAGAAACCCAGAATCAGTAACATTTAGTTGGTGAGCCACTTTTAGTAGCAGGCTACCCAGTAACAATAGAGCACTTAAGCGGGGTGTGATGGTGCACACCTTTAATCCCAGTGCTTGGGAGACTTGAGGCAGGAGGATTGCCATGAGTTCAAGGCCAACCTGTGCTACACAGTGAGTTCAAGGCCAGCCTGCACTACAAAGTGAGACCCTGTCTCAACGACCCCCCCAAAAAACACCACAATATAGCCCTTGCCTAGCATGTCCAGAGACGGGGAACTGATGCTCAGCACTGCAGAGATGGGGGGGACAGAGAGACACAAGGAGAGAGAGATATATATTTAGAGAGAGAGACTCTTGCTGAGCCCAGGCAACTTAGTGATTTAGCAAAATCCTGTCTCAAAATAAAATTTTAAAAGGCCTAATGAGGCCAGGGATGATGTAGCTCAGTGGTAATGTGCCTCCCTGGCAAGCAAAAGGTCCTGTGTTCAATCCCCAGTACCAAAAGGGGCAGGGGCTAATGAAATAGCTCAGTGTGAAGGCCCTGTATTCAATAACAAGTACTAAATTAAAAAAAAAAAAAAAAGCAAAAATCAACAACAGTGAGAGAAAGAGATAGGAATGACATTTATCTTGTATTTAACTAATGCTTACATTTCTTCTTCTTTTTGTTTTGGTACCGGGAATCGAAATGCTTAAATTTCTAAGTAACCATGGCTGTCACTTATAAGCATAAATGGGAAATTGAAATGTCTAAGGAAATAAACATGGGAGACAAAGTACAGGGATAGGGCAAGACTTCACAGCCCCCAATCTATGCTAGGATTAAAACTTTGCAGTGGGGCTGGGGATTTAGCTCAGAAGCGCTGTGCCTGCTTTGAAAGCACAAGGTTCTAAGTCAATCCCCGGAACAGGGGTGGCTGGGGGTGGGTAGGGGGTGGTGTTTGCAGTGATGACAATCAGTGAATATACAGGTCAACCAAAGTAGCTGACATGGACAACCATTTCATTTTTAGAAAATCTGTATAAAGAATATTTAAATAAGTTCCATCTGCACAATGTGAAACATTCTGACATGATATCAAGAGTGTTTTCATTTTTATTTATATCCACTGTAACTGGGTATTCTGATCAAAATGAAAAGATTTTGAGATACATTTTCTAGGTAACCTACCTGTAACTGCATGACCACATAGTTGAATCGATCATTCCTCCCACAGCCAATAAATCTACAAACGTGGTCTTTCCCTGGGTAAAAGAGAAAAAGAAAGAAAACAGCGGAAAAGAATATACTATACTTTTTCTTCTAAAATTTTTTTTCTGTATAGTATTTGAGTTAATATAAAAATATATAAAATAATGTGTTGAGACCATAAAGACAGGAATTTTATTTCAAAATTTTTACCCATGCACTCCCTAGGTCCTGTAGTGCTCCTTGTGTAGTCAAATAAAACTTTGTTGAATTAATAAATAAAACATGAATGAATGAGGAAACAAATAAATGATAAGTTTCTTAGTAAAAGATTCAGAGGTCATTTAAGATCAACTTGCTCAGATACACTCCATATGAAAGCACAAAAGGACAAGAAATAAGAACTGTATTAGAAATATAAATCTGCATTTTAGTTTGTTGTTATGACAGGTCTCAAGGGGCTGGGGATTTAGCTCAGTGGTTCCACCGCCTGCCTCACAAGCACAAGGTCCATCCCTGGTACCAAAAAAAAAAAAAAAAAAGACAGGTCTTAGAAGAAAAAAAAAAGGATCTCACTGGCTAGCCTTGATTTTGATATGCAGCTCAGGCTGGCCTCAAACTCACGATTATCTTTTCTCAGCTTCCTAAGTGCTTGGATTACAAATGTGTAAAAACCATGCTCAACTCAAACACTGAATTTTAGATTCTGGCACTCTCTTTTTTGGGTACTGGGGATCGAACTCGGGTCCTTGCAGTAAGGAGGCAGGCGTCGGAACCACTGACCTAAATCCCCGGCCCTGCTACTCCTAATTACATGATTTCAACAAGTCACACATCTTTCTGGGCTTGTTTATTTGGACAAGCTCAGTGGTTTTCAACCTGAGTTGCAGGTGTGAAATTGAAAGACATGCTGATTGAGATGGACTTAAAGGAGATCATGCTGGAGCTGTAGCTCAACTGTGAAGGCCTGGGGTTCAACACCCAGTACAAAAACAAAAACTTTAGTTTAGCCAGGCATAGTGGTGCACACCTATAAACCCAGCACTAAAGAGTCTCAGGCAGAAGGATCCAGATACTCAAACTCAACCAGGCAATTTAAAGACTTAGTGAAGCTGGGCCTGGTAGTCCACGCCTATCATCCCAGAACTCAGGAGGATCCCCACAGGAGGCTAAGGAGGATGGCAAATTCAACCTCTTCCAGGGAAACCTGAGACTGCCTCAAAATTTAAAAAAATTTAAAAATGGGCTGGAAATACAGAAAAGGCCCTAATGTTTAATCACCAGAATTTAGATTCCTATATTCCTTACTGATTCAGAATTGGTTATAGAATATGAGCATTTCAAAATGATATAAATGATCCAAAAGCAAGCAGGACATGGATGGATATTTGAAAGTACTGCTGAGTAATAAGAATCACCCCAAATATTTTTAGATGAAGAATTATATACTACAGCAATACATTTTAGAACATCACTGTGGTGGCAATGAAAATGACACTCGGGCTGGGGATTTAGCTCAGTGGCACTGTGCCTGCATGGCAAGCACAAGGTCCTGAGTTCCATCCTTGGTACCACCAAAAACAGACTCAACAAAGGAAAATCTAGAGACAGAAAGGTTAAAGCTGGACACAGAAAGCTTACAATATCCTGCAAGAGACAAGAATAAGTACAAGAGGTGATTGAAAAATATGCTGAATTTTTTAGGGGTTTTTTTTTTTTTTTTTTGAGATAGGGTCTCACTATGTAGTGTAGACTGGCCTTGAGCTCACTATGTAGCCCAGGCTGGTCTTGAACTCACAGCAATCCTCCTGCCTCAGCTTTCTGAGTGCTGAGATTACAGGCATGCACCCTGTGCCTGGCTCTGAATGTTTAAATTTCTAAAATTATGACAGTAAAAGACACATTGGCATTAATTTCCCCTCACAATACCCCCCACCCCCCCATCAAATACACAATCCCTTTGCTCTTGTCACTCTGAAGCAGTTTAGGAAGGCTCCTGTGTCTAGACAAGGTATAATGAGAAAATACCATGAATGCTGCTGCCGAGTGCCATTCGATGGCAAGGCAGGCTTGTGAAAACATTACAGTGTGTTTTTAGCCACATTATTCACCAGATCTGGTACCGTGCAATTCTGGGTCTTTCCCAAAGTACAAATGACCATGAAAGGTAAACTTTTTGAATCAATTTAGGACACTGAGACAGCCACAAAAGCACATCTAAAGATACTCACCAAAGAGAATTTCCACGAGTGCTTCAGAAAGTATCAAGAAAGATGGAGTAAATGTTTGAAAGCAAGTGAGGAAAAATATTTTGAGGGGGGATTAGTAGCAATGTGTCTTTAACTGTAATATTTTAAAAATTTAAACATACGGGCCGGGGATTTAGCTCAGTGGTTTCACCGCCTGCTGCACAAGCGCAAGGACCTGACTTCAATCCCTGGTACCAAAAAAACAAAAAAAACAAAAAAAAAAACGGAAAGTGATACAATTAAATGAAAATTTGTACCAAAATAAGACAATGTAATAGGGTGTATCAGTTTTAAAGGATGTTAGAATGTCGAATTGGAGGGTAGCTGAATTGAGTAATTATAATTTCAGGCATAGTACCGAGACAAAAAGATGGAGCTATAGACATACATCAGGGAAGCATTAATGTGGAGGACAGAACCACAAATACAGACACATGAAAAGTAAGAAGAAACTTTAGTACATAATTCTGTAAAATTCATGTGTAAAACTTAAAGTACCCTCAAGGAAATAGAAGAACAACCCAAGAGACAGGAGGAAACTCTGAGAAAGGGCATCGCAGGACCCATGAGAAAGAATATTATGAAGCTAGGAGTGATGGGAAGTGCCCACTCATAAATATTAGGGTTAGGGAGCCACGAGTGAGTAGAAGAGGCAGAAGCTAGTTTATAATGGGGTACAGAGTAGGGCTGGGAATTTAGCTCAGTGGTTTCGCTGCCTGCTGCGCAAGTGCAAGGACCCGAGTTTGATCCCCCGTACCAAAAAAAAAAGAGCAAAAGGGGCTGGGCATGCTGGTACACACCTGTAATCCCAGCACTTGGGAGGCCGAGGCAGGAGGATCACTGTGAGTTTGAGGCCAGCCTGGGCTACATATTGAGTTCAAGACCAGCCTGGGCTACTACATAGCATGACCTTATCTCAAAAAAGGAAAGGGGAAAAAAAAAAGTAAATAGGATATGAGGCAATAAGAGTAGACAACTTTTGAAGACATATGCTTGTAGAACAAAGAATAGTGACGCACACAGTACTGTAAATATCAATGTGAAGCAGGCATGGTCCAGGGAGACTGCAAGTTCAAGGCCAGCCTGGGGTACACAGTGAGATTCTGCCTCAAAGTAGAATGAGTATAGGGCTGGGGATTTAGCTCAGTGGTTCCACCACCTGCCTCCCAAGCACAAGGTTCCGAGTTCAATCCCCAATACCAAAAAAAAAAAAGAATAAGTACAACAGAAACCCAATAATCACCATGTGCACAATGTATGCTGATGATTTCACATGGTTTTTTGGGTACATATTTGTAAAACTGTATCATCTAGTAAACAGTAATAAAAATGAAAGGATAAAAATGGTCCACAGCAACTGTATTCTTCAGATTCACAGAAACAATAAAAAATGTAATTATGGTGCAGGCCTGCAATACCAGCACTTGGGTGGCTGAAACAGGAGGACTGCCACGAGTTTGAGGCCAGCCTGACGTACACAGCAAGACCCTGTCTCAAACAACAACAATAACAACAACAACAACAAATCAACAGCAAAATTTTAATTATCCATTTTTTAAGACTCCACCTTCAGGCTGGAGATGTAGCTCAATGGTAGAATACTTGCTTAGCACATGCAAGACTCTGGGTTCAATTCCCAGCACCATAAAAAAAAAACCCAAAACACAAAAAACAAACCACTCCACTTTTTCATCATGAACATTTAAATGTAGGGGCTGGGGATGTAGCTTAATGGCACTGCGCCTGCCTGGCAAGCAAAAGGTCCTAAATTTGATGGAGGGGGTGGGGTGGGGTGGGGATTAAATGCAGTACCTTTGTTACAAAGACATTTGAATCATTTAAAAACAAAAGATCATTCTAGATTTAATTCCTCTGGCAATACTTCTTGTTTTTGTTTGTTTGGTTTTTTTTTGGTACTGGGGATTGAACTTGGGACCTTGCGCTTCCCAGGCAGGTGCCAGAACCACTGAACTAAATCCCCAGCCCTGGCAATACTTCTTTTAAAATATCTTTGTAAATTATACCAAAAAAACCACCCTACTCTTAGAAAGAAACTAAATAAACCACAGATCTTTTATTGAACAATCAAAGCAAAGCAAACTTTCTGGGGTTCATTAGTACATTCTCATTGCTTTAGGTAAGATATAAATGAGTTCTTGTCCTATATTTTAAGGAATAGTGTACTGGTGCTCTTATATATATATACACACACACAATTTATATATATACATATATACAATTAATGAAACTAATACAGTTAGTTCAATAAAAATGTAGAAATTTCTGGAAGCATGGAAGAATTACAATTTAATTGGGACAGTCACTCTTCACTAGCACTTACAGCAATTGCTAAATAACTTTATAACGAGTACACACTGAAGTATCACTCCATGAGAACAAAGACTAGTATCTTGTTCTGGTGCCTAACAATACCTGACAAACAGTGAAATATTCAATCAATATTTGAATGAACAAATTAACAAATAGTAATAATTAATGGAGAGAAGGAGAAGGGGATGAAAAAGGAATTAGGATGTATTGTGTACATGTATCACTCCCCATGTGGAATGTAATCATTATGTACTAAAAATATGTACTAATAAAAAATTAAAATTGAAGAAAAAAATTTTAAAAACAAAAAATCAAGAAATAATACTTAATATGCATAATATGCACACATAATGCAAGCATTTTATAATAGGCTTTTTATTATATATGTTACATATATTTAATCCTTTCAATAATGATATTAAGTATTAGTGTTTCCTCTACTTTTCAGATATAGAAACGGAGTTTCTTCTTAGTGA